CCCCCCCACCATTTTTGGACTGCAATTCTTTTTTGTTTAGTTAATTTTGGCTTTAATGGAGAGCAGATTGAAAAATATGTATTTATAGTTTGTGGTGTCTTTTAGTTGTATTTTTTTTTTCTACTAATGAAGTACAGCTCATTGTTCCTGTGAACTGTGTGCAAAATGTACATTATTTTTAATGGGGAGCTACAGATGATTCAAAAGCAGCACCATTATTATTGTGGCTTGTTGATGAGTTTTTAAAGAGCAGGAAAATCCCTGTGAAGACAGTGGGAGAAAAGTGACTTGGTGTGTTAGATTTGTGAGGCTGTACTCCCTCATAGCCTGTATGATAAATTAATATAAACCATGGAATGAAATCCATTCCTCTCTGTCCCTGGTTTATCTTTTGTTGGTGAATGTTCCCCACTTTATAAGGACTTTTATTTCAGCTTTGGCTGGATGCCATTTGGGGTAAACCCACCCACCACCTTCTTATAATCCCTCAATGTCTCCAGTAGGAACAACTCTGCACCAGTGCCCCCAGATCCCCCCACAACCCAGTGTTCTGGTAGAATCCTGTGTGTCCCACCGCACTTTTTTCTGGAAACCCCAAAGGTGGCTGATGAAGTGACTGCGGACGGCTGTGCTGGGATCATTACGGAAACAGTATGAACATACTGAGCCTGATGAAGTGGACCCTACGTGGACCCAAAATGCTGCTTTCATGTGACAACATGCATTATTAAAGAACGATCACTTGACTATTTTGTTTGGTGTACTGGTGACATCCTGTTTCCTTACTGGTAGAATCCTGGACCTGTGACAAATCTAGACCCAAGTGTCACTTCCGGGGGCACTGCCTGAATGCACAAGCTCATAGGCACAATGAACATTACATCAGCTGATTGGGTCCAGAATTTTCACAGGCTATTTGCCTGTATTGTGCATGTGCGGTGAAGCCAGTAGGTCCAGAAAATTCACAGGTAAGGCGACTGCGGCCACATAGCACATCATAATAATAACAAAAGAAATGATTTTGTTATTATTATTGTAAAGTGTGTTAAGTTATGTGGCCGCAGTCGCCTTACCTGTGAATTTTCTGGACCTACTGGCTTCTCCCCACATGTGCAATACAGGCAAATAGCCTGTGAAAATTCTCGACCTGATCAGCTGTTCTACGCTTTTGTGTTCAGCCGACACTGCCTGCAACTTCTGAGACCGAGTCATCGGAAATGACGCGGTCCAGATTTCTAACGCAGATTAGCACAATGATGGAACACCGTGACAATTATTATGAGAAGGCTCCACTCATCCACAGATTGTTCACTTTATTTTTATGCTGGGATAGATGCAGCTGAAGAAGTGAGACTAGCCAAGAGATATGAAGTGGGTCCATTGGTCCATCCTACTCCACCTAGAAACAAATTAATAATTCATATAATTGATCAAAGTTGTGGTTGAAATAAAATAGCCGTTGGGAAGTTGAATTTCTGTAATGTGCACGTTCCCTCAGGTATAAATATCTGCCACTCTAGTCAGTGTCCAACCTTTACTCTTCAGATCCGAATCCGCAGAGTCCAAGCACAGAGAGTTAGCCTAAAAGAGTTTGTGCAGCTGCAAAAATTCTGAGGAGGTCTAAATCTAGAGTGAGGAAAGCGGTGTTTTAGCACTGCTAATTATTTAGTAAAGTCATCAGGAAGTGGTTTCCTCAGCCTGCTCAACAGTCATGTGACGTTTCCTCACTTGTGAATTGGCAAGAGTGAGAATTTTTATTTCCCTCAAATTTTGTTGAAAATGTTGAGATTTTGGTGAAATTTCTCCATATTACCAAAATGCATTGTAATCACCGGGGAAGGTGGCTATTGGTGGTGTTTACGGGTGTAATGGGCTTTAATGGCTCCTGAAGGTTATGGAAGATCATTTCTGTACCTGATTTTTAGCCCTTCCTTTGCCTCAGTACATTTCACCTTCTGTTACCAGCTTAATATACAAAAGCCATGTCCTGCCTTGGTGAGATTTCACAGATGGCGAAATTGAAATCGCCATAACCAAGCCGCTCAACTCGACTTGTGAAAGATCGGCTTGAAGTGTTTCATTCAATCATCTTAGATAAAAGGGAACATTTCACCTTCCATTTATCACCTCTTCATCTTTGTCGTCAGGTCCCTCCGAAATGACGGCGACGATGAGGTACAACAGGCGGCCAACATGTCCAGATGCTTCGATGGCCACCAACATGCCGACCCCTCCGGTGTCCCGCCACAGGAAGAGCCGCAGCTTAGGAAACAAGTGGGTCATCTGCTGTGTGTGGGATTTGAATTCATACATGTATGAGTGAGGAAAGGTTGGAATGTTTTCATTGCTGTCTGTGCCTTCCTGTCTCAATGACAACTGCTCCCCTCATTTCTTCTACAGGTGTCACAGAGATAAGAAGTGAGGGATAGTCTCCCGAATAAGGTCTAAGACAGAAATAAACACCTGACAAGAAGTTTACCTCTTTACATCACATCCTCACATTATCCAAAACTAAAAAGAAAACATGGCTGGAGTTAGTCATTAATGTTCTGCTAGTATAACTACATGAAATCTATCTTCCTATTATCCCAGCATACCAGAAATCGGCCTGAATGTGGGAGGGATCTGCAGTGTAAGCCAGTCAGGTTTCATATTGACAGTCTTGTTAAACTAATATGTTTCACAAATGGGGAGGTTCTTTGGCTCCTGCCGGCGAGCACAGGGGGACCCTCTGCATTGTGAGGATGCTCATTCATAGTTAAGTGAGCAAGCAAGTGACACAGAAACCTATTGTAGTACATAGTGGTTTCACCCTGCGGCTGAACAGTCTGGCAAATGCAAGATTGTCTGAATAGGAGTAGAAACAAATGTTTTAGCGGATAAAACAGTTCCAGATCCATTCTAGCTATCTGTGTAGCTGTTTGGCTGCAGTTTTACTTTGAAGAAAAAAAATCTAGATAATTGCATGCATGTTTCATATTTAAGCATCCCTCCCTTGGCAAATATTCACAAATTGTAGTTACAATATCACATATAACTCAAGCTTAATCATAAAATGTTAAATAGTATGTGACAATTGAGAAATAAATATTTTGCATTAACACATGAACAGCAACACATCCTTTTATTATTTGACCAGTTTATTCCATTGTCCTAGAAAGGAAATGGAGTACAGATGTGACTCCCCTCTGGTGGACATTTTAAGCTCCTGCAATTCTAATGATAGTTTCAAGAATGACTATTTTTGTGACCATAATTCATCACATAACAATGTTCAGGGGTAACATGAAACATGGTCACATCCCCAACCTTCTCTCCTTTACCTGACTCATGGGGTTCCTCACCCTGCAGGCTTCTGTCATTTCCAGCTGCACAGCCATGTCATCCATTCGCATGATCAATGAATAGAGAGGCTACAAGTCCCAATTTGCACCATGGCAGAGGGACTCATAGTTCTCAATGCAGTACAAGTGTGGTGACATCACTTCTTCTGGTCCCGTAACTGAAAGTCCATTTGGTGTGCCCAGAGATCTGCACAATAGCAACGTATATTCCTGCACTGAGACTATTTAAAATGAGTGCTGAAGTTTAGGTCCTTTACGGTAAGTACAAACATCCTATTTTACCGGCGAGCATTCCTTGCCTTGTAAAACTAATTAGGTGGCTCTAAAGCCATCCAGATCACTAAAAAGCCCAGCCTAAGCTCGGCTGAAAAAAAATAAAAACCTCAAACAATTAGTTCCATTTAGAAAGAACAACAGCGCTATGGTTGTTTAAACTCCTGTGTCCAAGCAGCTGTGCTAAAACATTATTGTGACTAGTGCACTACTACAAACAGTTTAAATAGTTAGCACTGCGCTATCAGTTATTAAAATATAATATGAAAACTTAAAACCATAAATAGTGCTATCAGCTATGCAATAATAATATTTATCCTGTGCTATGCATCAAACATTAAAATGCAATAAATAGTGATGTGTCCTTTGTGCAAATAATATAAAGTGCAACAATGATAAGTCCTTGTGTGGAGAAATCTGCTGTTCACTCCTATGTGCAATTTTCTTTCTCTATTTATAGCAAACGCCATGTCTTTCCTTTATAGAATAAACCTTGAGTGCTTCAAACAAAACTCCACCGTGTTAGATGAACATACACTATATTGCCAAAATTATTGGGACACCCCTCCAAATCATTGGAATCAGGTGTTCCGATCACCTCCATGGCCACAGGTGTATAAATCAAGCACCTCGGCATGCAGACGCTTCAACAAACAATAGAAAGAATGGGTCGCTCTCAGGAGCTCAGTGAATTCAAGCGTGGTTCCGTGATAGGTTGCTGCCTGTGCAATAAGTCCATCCGTGAAATTTCCTTCCTACTAAATATTCCACGGTCAACCGTTAGTGGTATTATAACAAAGTAGAAGCAACTGGGAACAACAGCAACTCAGCCACGAAGTGGTAGGCCATGTAAAATGACAGAGGGGGGTCAGCTCATGCTGAAGCCTACAGTGCGCAGAAGTCGCCAACTGCCTGCAGAGTCAATAGCTACAGACCTCCAAACTTCGTGTGGCCTTCAGATTGGCACAACAACAGTGTGTAGAGAGCTTCATGGAATGGGTTTCCATGGCTGAGCAGCTGCATCCAAGTCTTACATCACCAAGAGCAATGCAAAGCATCAGATGCAGTGGTGTAAAGCACGCCGTCACTGGACTCTAGAGAAGTGGAGACGTGTTCTCTGGAGTGACTAATCACGCTTCTCTGTCTGGCAATCTGATGGGCGTGTCTGGGTTTGGCAGTTGCCAGGAGAACGGTACTTGGTTGACTGCATTGTGCCAAGTGTAAAGTTTGGCGGAAGGGAGATTATGGTGTGGGGTTGTTTTTCAGGGGTTGGGCTTGGCCCCTTAATTCCAGTGAAGGGAACGCAATTTCATGCTCCCAACTTTGAGGGAACAGTGTGGGGATGGCCCCTTCCTGTTCCAACATGACTGAGCACCAGTGCACAAAGCAAGGTCCATAAAGACATGGATGAGTGAGTTTTGGTATAGATGAACTTGACAGGCCTGCACCCGATAGAACACCTTTAGGATGAATTGGAGTGTACACTGCGAGCCAGGCCTTCTCGTCCAACATCAGTACCTGACCTCACAAATGTGCTTCTAGAAGAATGGTCAAACATTCCCATAGACACACTCCTAAACCTTGTGGACGCCTTCCCAGAAGAGTTGAAGCTGTTATAGCGGCAAAGGGTGGGCCAACTCAATAATAATAATAATAATAGTTCGTGTAAAGGCAGGCGTCCCAATACTTTTGGCAATATAGTGTATATCTGCACTCATCAGCTGTCATTGGCCATCATGTTACATATATGTTAAATATGTTGTTACCAGAGCTGATGCCTTGTTCATGAACCCCTTCTGACTCTTCTGTGAAGACAGAGGCAAAGAATGTGTTAAACACATCAGCTTTCTCCCTGTCACTAGTAGCCAGCTTCCCGTTTTCATCTGATGTGGGACCCACATGTTCCGTCCTTAGCCTCTTACTATTTATATATTTAAAGAATGTTTTGGGGTTCCTTTTGCTTTCTGTTGCAATGTGTTCTTCGTATGCTATTTTTGCAGCCCTGATTGCTTTTTGACATCTCTTGCTGCATTCCTTGTAGTGCTGGAAGGAGACAGCAATAGAGATTCCTTTCCTTGGATGATGGACGAGGTAGTAAAGTGGTGAAAGGAGTTTGGTTAACAAGCACTTTTTGGCTCATCTGTAACAAGGTGGCCAATGACCGCTGATGAGTGAGGATATATGTTGATCTAACACGGTGGAGTTTTTTTGGAAGCACGGGTCGTTTATTCTATAAAGGAAAGACACGGTGTTTGATATAAATAGAGAAAGAAATTGCACATAGGACTGAACAGCGGATTTCTCCACACAAGCAAATATCATTGTTGCACTTTATATTATTTGCACAAAGGAAACATCACTATTTATTGCATTTTAATATGTTTGATGCATAGCACAGCATAGAGATTATTATTGCATAGCTGATTATAGCACTATTTACTGTTTTACATTTTCATATTATATTTTAATTGATAGCGCAATGCTACCTATTTAAACTAAAAGTAATTACAGTTCCAGCCGTGAGCTTGTTTTAACCCTTAGATTCTCATGACATGTGACGCACAACATGGGCAGTCAAAGAGTTAAAGTATATCCGTTGAAATATTTTTTTCTTTAGTTTTGGATTGGGATGGGAAGGGTTAGATCCTTTTTGATGTTTTACTTCTCTCTGTATACTCATTGGCAAGGTTTCCCCTAACTTTCTGTTCTGGTGACAATATTGTTACCAGGACAGGAGAGTAAGGGAGAATCTCCAACAGGGACAAAAACAGCAATGAAAACTATTTTCTAATAGTGTAGCGCAACTTTAGAATCACTGTCAGCTTTTTAATACTGTCTATGTTTCCAATAGAAATTCCCCTCACTTCTTGCCTTGGTCTGAATATTGTCACCAGGACAAGAAGTGAAATCTCAATGAAACCAGAAATCAAAGCCTTTTAGAGCTGTAGGTGGGAGGTGCTGGATACAAACTCTGGGGTTGATTTACTAAAGGAGTAGGGTATGTTCACTTCCAAAGTGAGCTTTTGGCCTTACAAAGGGAATTTTCACTTGGCTTAGTGTATGGGGGGTAGTTGAGCTGACCTCATCCATCCAATCATGTGCAAAAAAAAAATAGTGTGAGCCGTCCTTCTTCATTGGCCGTCCTGTCAGAGTTGCCCCTTGTGGCACCTTTGTGTATTTGGAGGTCACTCACTAGACATTTTACACAATATAGAGTGTCTGCACACAAAGTGGAATCTAACACAGAGACCCGGACTTATAAAGGGGTAGATAATTTTCACTTTGCAGAGGTAATTTTCGCTTAACTTAGTAAATGAGGTGAAAATTCACTTTTCAAAGAAAACTCAATCATGTGGTAGGAAAAATTATAAAACATTACTATTATCACACAGTTTTTGTACTATCCACTAAATCATAATTTCCTCTTACAATACATTTCAATGTGTTTTGGGGGTTTCCAAATGCCCCCTTCGTTAGGGCTAAAGTAGAGTATTTAAAGATAAAAAGGTATATATCCTCCAAGAGAAAAATGGCATTAGGCTATACAGTATATCTACATGATGTACTAAATTAATTGTAGTAAATAATGTAGGTGGTTCCCTGTGATTTAATATATCAGTAAAACTAAACCATAATGCATGTTGTACTGGATACATATTCTTGTAATTTATAATCTATTGGGTAATATACTGGATATTACATGTTTTTAATGGGCTTTACATTTTGTTAATAGTTATACTTTTTTAGTCTTGGAGGATATGTCTATGCTATATTTTTCTTGGAGGATATGTGTGGTGCATTAGGGCGTGTGTATAATATTTTTGTAATGATTATTAGAATGAAAGATCTTATTTTTTACTTTTTGTATCATTAAATACTCTAGCCCTGATGAAGGGGGCATTTGGTAGCCCCTAAAATGGGTTGACATGTTGTGTATATCTAGGAGGAAATAAAAAGATGGCAAATACAGTGGCCCTGTCCTTCTTTGTAAAAATAAAACCTACCCACTATCTCCAAAACTACTTAAATTGTTTTTAGCAAGACCCCTGGCCTCCGAAGAAAGCCCCCCCATAGGCAATGCTAAACTTTTAGTTGCATGGTCTTCCCACAACTGCTGTAGCCTGTCTCCTTGTTTTTATAGTCTGGCCATGGAGCCTGGCATATGAGTGTAACTATAGTCATAGCAGACCATTTGATTGCTATGGGCCCCAGAGCTGTATGGCCCCACAGTGATTTATATAGGGATTAGAAGCATTTGGAAAATACATTTTGGTAAAAGGAATGTACAGTATATAAAGTCTGGGAACTTGTATATGATTGTAATTTGATATTCTGTATTACTGGAGGCATTTTATAGGTAGACTAGAGGAACCTCTTATGATCCTGCATTGGGTAAGTACAAGACTTGCTGTAGGCAATAATAGGATTTCGTATGCGCCACACTAAGCGCACATCTTTCTCTCCATGTCTCCAGTGTCATGTGTCAGTTCAGTGTTGTCGAAAGCAAGAGTTCCACTTTTCCATCTGAGAAACAGCGCAGCCTCCTAGACGACAGTGTGATTGAGTCCCAGAGTCCAGTCCGGAACAGCATGCCCATGGCAGCATTCACCAATGGGATATCGATAGGTAAGTCCAAACCACACCTACCCAGTCCTCATACAGCTTGATTCTGACAGCGACTCAGTGTGCACAGACTTTTAGCGCCAGACTTGAATTTGTATCATGCTTTCTATGAGAAAAGCCTCAAATAGGTTACAGTGAAGTTATTTGGGGGATTAAAAGGACAATATCACGTTGCCCATGCTGGGCAATGTGACAATGTCTCTGCAATTGTTCCACCCCCACTACTAAGACTCACTTTGTCAGTGCTCATCTGTTGCTCCTGCGACCTTCTTCCTTATGATAATGCCCAGGCCTAGCAGCCAATCACTCGGAGTACTGCCCCTTTACCAAGGGAATGTTGTCACCACTCCCTCTGGTTGCCCACAACGGTGATTTCAGTGCTGCCTGTGACAGAGGAGGGAGTCAAGGGAGAAAAGGTGAGTAAAGTGGATTGGGGGGGTCCCTTTTGCAGAGATACTGCCACTTTGTCTTGAATGGCAAAAAATAACCTGTTTGTTGCCCATTCAGGGCTTTCAATTCACCTCTCATCTAATTATATACTTTCTCCCCCATTGCTCTGTTCAACGTTAGGAACCAAAGCAAATATCCTTTACTTGCAGGTATGGAAAAGCATGCGAGTGTGGTGGGCAAATCAGCATTGTCAAAACATGAAGTCCATAGTCCTGTGTTCGTTACTACTTTGGTGATGTATAGCTTCCAGCAGATGAACTTAGTAGTGGAGGAGTAAAAAGAAGGCAGCTGTGTGTGTGCATATATGTACACACACACTGCTTTCTGTTTTAGCTTTGATGAGTAGTGGGGAAGGGCTGGAACCCCTGTCAGGTGGCAATTGGACCTAAGTGGTCCCAGTTCTAGCCAAAAAAACTATTCTAAAAAAAAAAGTCCCGTTTGTAAGGTGGAGTTATATTCCCTGTGGTCAATCTAGTTTTATGTTTAAGCAGAACTCCAGGATTCCCCCCATAGTTTTTAAACCTTTATACAAACCCTTTTGAAGTCTTCTTGCCGGTTTGGAAATCTTCCAGGACTGAGTGGCACTCACTTATTGATATGCTATTGGCACTCAGTCCTGGAGTACTGTAGGCCCAGCCTGCATGATGATGTGTGTGCTTCCCCCCCCCTCCCCCCCATTTTGGTAACAGGCTTGAGATGGCCTCCAGCATCGAGCAATGATATCCTTACGTTGGACTGTTAAGATATCACAGAGCCATTAGCATGGTATTTTATTTTATTCAGATATAGTCTGGTGGAAATACCCAAGGCATAAATGGGCAGTAGTTTTTATATTGGTTTTCTCCAATCACATGTTGTGAAGTTTAAACTCTTGTGTATTTACAGTACCGTAATTCTACAGTATTATTGTGAAGTTTATATCAATGTAACTTTCACATTTTATGTGGTAGCTGTTCCATATTTTTACTGCAGTATTTTATGGACTGCTTACATTTTTATATACTGAAAGAGAAATTACAGGATAAGCAAGATTGTGATGTTTCAGCCAGTTTGATCTGACTGCTAGATTCCACTAAAGGTGGCCATACACTCTACAACCATCGCAAGACTTTAGTCTTGCGATGGTTGTAAAGGGATTAAAAAAACGTACGATCTGCCTATCTTGGACAGGCAGATCGCACTCTCGATCATCGCAAGCCCGCCCTCCTGAGGGGCGGGCTTCCGATGACCGCAATGCTGAACGGGCAGTGTGCGCGTGCGCACACCGGCCCGTTCAGCATTTATCTTCCGAGCACCGTTCTAACCAGCCGAGAATCGTACGATTCCCGGCTGGTTTTCGAACATGCTGGTTCGACAGAAGACGTGCGACCGTACAGTAGAAACGGTCGCACGTCTCCGTTCACACTGCTCGATTATCGTACGAAAACCCGATCGCATACGATTATCGTACGATAATCGTGCAGTGTATGGGCACCTTTTACAGAGATGAACAATAAAGCACAAGCACTGTGTGGCACTACTAAGCAGGGCCTGCAAATTTACTAAGCAAGAATGGCTGCTCCCATGTACTTTATAATTACAAATTATCCATAGAAACTGTGGAATAAAACATTAAACCTATTTGGTAAGAAATTAGTTTTAACATCTTGGGCACTGTGTGCGCGAATATTGACTCTCCGTCTCTCCTACACCTGCGTCCTATACTTATTCGCCTCTCACTTTCACGGCCACTTAAGTGGTGGATTAGCAATACGCTCACACCTACCAAGAGCCGCCACAAAATTTACAACATCTCCACCTCTCTAAACAGAGGCTTGTAAAAGCACACAGATTATGAATGTCAGGACATGTACCCGCAAGCTCTCACGCTGCCAGAATTTGGAGCTTTGGGTACAGACGGCGACAGGAAAAAAAGTACAGCCATTACCTAAGAGCTAATTTACAGCTCATAATTCTGCAGTGTGTGAAGGGCATCTTTACTACAGTTTTTCAAAGCAATATGCAGAATTAGTCAGTGAAATGCTGATTTTAGCCAGGGAAACACCAGATGTGCTATAGTCAAAAGTACACTCACTTTGTATGATTATTCAGAAGCCTTTTTACATTGCTTCCGAGAAGGCACCGCAGCCTCATGTCAGATTACTCTGTAGAGCACTAGAGAAAACACAGTGGATGCATCTTCAGACTCTCTGCTATTTTGTCAAGAAAGGGCTCAGAAATTATACTAGCAGACGTGTGCCCGCTCTAGAGAAGGTACGTCTGTGGAGCAGAGCCGATAGTGGGCTGTTGTGTGCAGGTGGCAGAGGACAAAGACACCAGAAGGGACATTTGTGGAGTGTAGGATCTGTTTGCACTAATAGAATAAATTAGGTGCTTATGACGGGTCAGTGGTGACTGTCATCAGGGTTTAAATGCTGGATGCCGCATGGGATGTACTGTGAGCAGAGGGTAAATGGTGAATGGAGAAAGGGATGTATTGTGACCGATGGATAGGCAAGGTGGAATCTGCTGTGACCAAGTAAAGTGAGGTGGCTGTGATTGTAGGGTGAAGTGGCCAGGGAAGGATGTAATGATTTGCTGTGACGGGGGATGTGAAGTAGCCAGGGAGTATTGAGCTGTGACCTGGGTGAGGTTGTTGGAGAGGGACGTGGGTCAGATGTAAGGACGATGCTGTAATGTGGGTGGGAGGTGCTATAACCAGAGAGGGTTGGTGTGATGGGTGGAGGGTGGGTTGATGGAAGGCAGGCGCTGTGATCAGGGAGGTGAAGTGCATAGGAGGTTGGGAATGTAACTGGGGTGATAAGGTTAGCGTTAGGCACCGTGACCGGATAGGAAAGGGGGTGGGGGTAATGAGGGGAGTGGGATTGTGGGTGGCTCTGTTACTGAGGCTACTGGGTAGACAATAGACATGTGCAATTAGTTTCGGTACGAATCGAAATTTGGACGAATCTGCGTTATTACAACATTAGTAACGAATTTCAACTAATCCCCAAAAAATTATAACGAAAACAACAAATTAATTTGGATTCATTTGTTTCATTTGGATGTCAAAATGCACTAGTTTGGGTCACTCGTTAAAGGTTGATATAGCCAGTCTTCCAAAATAACAAATTGTATATAATAACGAACAACCGACCATCCGAAATTACAAATCGATTCGGCATATCGAATAAGTAGTTTTGCCGAAAAACAAATCATTCTGAAAACTAATATGACGAAACAAAATTTACTTTATGACTAGAAATTAAACAAAACAATGTTTTTGCTGGCGCACATGTCTAGTAGACACTGTGGAACTTTGGAAGAGACGTGTTGTGAATGGGGGAAGGGGGCTGGTTTGAAATGGGTGGTGCTTTGGAATGTGACTGAGGGGGTAATTGAGGAGGTGGGTGGAGGAGCTGTGATCTGGGAGTTGAAGTGGGTGGGAGGTGCGGTGGAGTGATGAGTTTTCATGCATAACTCAGCGCAGTGCGGCTGGCAGCTATAGGTGTACGTATAGCTGTATAGAGAAAGGGATATGAGGTGGATTGTGGGTACCCGCCAGTCATGTCAACTATTTTTGATCTGCCCATTTTTACAAGATTTCTTTTCAGCTGCTTTTGGTGACCACACACAAGAACTACTTAATATTGCATCAATTTTACAGCACATCTGTATTTTACATCTGATTATATTTCTTGTATTTTGTACCATAGGTAGTAGTGAAAGTTCAGAATTCAGTGAGGATGTGTCTTCTGTCCTTGACAGGTAAGAGCTGGTCAACTAATTTCAAAAAATGTGTGCTATTCACAATGGTCAGATATTAACTGATATATATGTACTGTATATTAATACAGCAAATATGCAAGATAAAAACGGCAGAACAGTACTTCTAGGAATGTTGGTCCTAAAGTTAAAAAAAAGCCATAGAACTTGCTTATTACCCAGTCGAAAGTCTACCAAGAAAAGTGCAGTGCTTCACCCAGCCATCCTGTGGAGGAATTTTCACTTAAAAAAGGCTTTTCTATATTCGGATGACTTAATATTTTGGCATCACTTAACACCTCTCCTGTAAGATATAAAGACACAGCTTTAAAAAAAGTGCAGAAGAGAAAATAAAGCATTTAGTGAAATGTGTGGGAGGGTTTGTACAAACAACAGAAGTCTTTGTGCAGAGAAAAATCGCCTTGTTTGTCCGATGATTGGATTCATGCAGAAGCAGGTTGAATATTAGTGTTAAATTTTGCCATGTTACTGTGTTTGTCTCAATATAGCCCGTACTTTGTGTTCACCCTGGTGTTTCATGTGGTAGATCCTGTAGCAAGTCTTGTGTTCTTTGTAAAAACACTCTAGATAATACAGAGTTGGAGGCTTAGTGGTGTACAAACCTGGAGTACAGTGGATCAGATGTGCACAGCATCTAGATTCTTAGGGGTTGATTTGCTAAAGGCAAATAGGCAGTTCACATTGCAAGCACATTTTCCCTTAGCACACTGAATGGTGTGAAAATTTGCCTTTAGTAAATTAACCTCTTGGTTTCTGTGTTCAGTAAATGAACAATGAAATTCACACATTAGGTTTTTCCAGCAGGTCACATGTCAACCCTGCCAATCATCTTCGCCTATGTGATAAAATAACACCCATGGCATTCTATAAATAAAAACATGCTCCATGCCTAGGCAGCCCAGATCACATGAGCCCTAGCTAGCAATGATTTTGCTGATTGTGCAAATGTCCGTTGTTTTTCATTCAGCAGTGAGATAAGAACAATAATGGGGTACAAAGAGCATTGAAGTATATTTACATTTTTAAGGCTATGGTCCTCCTTTAAATGGAGCTTCTGATTTCTATTGCTGGTGTAGGGTACCTCTGTGTGTTTTCAAAAAGAGTCTTATACTGGAACATCTATAACCATGGTTGGCTATACAAAATGAGATATCCCATTTTTATTACTAGCACTATACATTTATAAACCGTTCTAGTATTGATCACTTCCATATATAAGCAAGGTTTAAAGGACTAAATTAAAGTTATGTTTGTGTTAGAAGTATGACATCACAGCCTATAGGTGGTCTGGTGTATGGTTTAATTATGCTGCATGAGAAGTTTTCCAGGAAATAGTTAAATATTTTCCACAGAAAGGAGCTGGTCATGTATTTACATCCCTCGGCTTATTAACTTTAAGTCTGTGTGAAATTCTTTTCTAGTACAACTCCAGTCATTAACAAGTCAGCATGACCCTGCAAGCCACTCAGTGCTTTACCAAGAACTGTGAATTGCTTTAACTTGGGAGGGGGGTCATTTAATAACAGTTATTTGGATTTTTTGCATGTCTTTTTTTTTTTTTGTTGCATCATGCACGGTTTGTCAAACTTACATTTAAATTTGCAAACAGGAGTCGTATGTATGCCACGCTGGGTCCCAACTGGAGGGTCCCAGTACGAAACTCACCCAGAAGTCGCAGCTGTGTGTACAGGTACATAGAGGTGGTGGGTTCTCTCCTTTTTAATAAGTTAAGCCTTAAAGCTCACCTGTACGCTAGTAAGAAAGGTGGAGGTAGACACTGTACTTTGCTCATCCAATAATGAAGGTTTTAGTGTATTTTGGAAATTTCCTTTTCATGTGTGCCCCAATACTCTTAATACAGAGCTGAAGGGAGGGTGAGTTATGTGCCAGACACACAGTTCAGGACCCAGATTGTCACAGTAAGAAGTAGCAAACTGTACCATATTCTAACCTCCTAAAAGTTGCCAGTGGCTGAGCTAAAAAAGACAAAAGACACTGTCATTTTACCCTGCATAGGTGTATCTTAAGCCCAAATGTTTTTCACATTTTATGTTAGTAAGTGTAAGAACGTCTTTCAGATTTCTATTGTTGTATCCCACTGTGGGCAGTCAATCACTCTATTTGTCCTGGTGTCCATTATCACTGGGACAGAAAGTGATTGGAAAGGAAACATTTTGCAGTTGCCTCCAAAACAGGATGTAAAGGGAAATCTTCCACTGGAGACATTCCCGTCACAACTGTGCAAGAATACTTTATTTCTTTGTCTTTGGAGAGATTTGGTCTCAGTTCCTTTTATGTCTCCAGAAGAAGAAGTAAAGGAAAATCTCCACAAAAAATAATCCAGACAGTTGTTCTAACCTTTCCCAACTAAAACTACAGAAAACATGTCTGGCTTTAGGTACACTTTCATGCAAATCCTTGCATCTATACCAAAAACGTTTTTCGTTTATTGATAAGGGCTCTAGACAGGAAGTGAGGGAAAATCTGCATAGGGGAAACAGACAACAATATAAAGCTGACAGAGGTTCTTGCATCCCCAACTTAACTTTAAAATAATAATTTAAAAAAATGTACTTCTGTCTGTGTTGCTGTTTGTGAGATTCCCCCTGACTTCCTGTCCTGGGACAACCTTTTTACTAGATTGGAAGTGAAGAAACCTCAGCCTAAAAAAACCTGACTAGTTCTAATCCTTCCCCACTGTATCCCAAAAAAAAAAAAAAAATTTTTTGTCTATAGGTACAGTACACATGACAAAGCTGGTATGGTAACAGGCGTATAATCATACTGTAAAACCTGAAACATGACGAATGTGTCTCCGAGCCTCCTCCTCTAAAGCACAGCATTTTCTTGTAATAAAAACAGGTGCTCAGGGAAGTGTGTCCATTACTAAAGCCTGGCAGAAGCAGCTATACAAAGTACTGGGCGGCCTCTACAGATATTGGTACATTATACAAAATAGCTGCATCTTCTGCATGCAGGTGATGGACACACTTTTAATGTAATCATTTTCATCTGCATGCCTGATGTTTAAAATCAGAAGTCTGAATTCTCTATGGTAACACCAAGTTCCTAATATGTTTTTTTTAATCATTTTTGGTTTTCTTCACTGTTTATAATGTAAACATTCTGACAAATCTGATATAAGATGGGAGAGTTACATAAGCAGCTTTGAAAGAAGCATTCAGTACCCCCTTCCCCAAATTTCAGACACGATAAGTAATTAAAAAAAGGGAAAATATAATTTTTTATTTTTTATGTTTTTTTATACTGATGTTTAATAACATTTATATTTTGTACAATATTATATCATTTTAAACATTTATTTGGACACAAATACATACATAAACCCCACACCTTCCTAAGGGAACAAGATATGCAATGAATTCTAATTACTATGTGTACTGTGTCACATTTACGCTTTGACAAAAATTTGATTTGTGGGTAAGCCTATCTTCTCAACAATTAGTTAGATTGGCTACAGATTGGATAGTTAATGGGATTTAATGGGAGTAGATTGGATAGTTAATGGGACATGTGGAAAATTGTCAGACTAAAGGTGGCCATACACTTTACAACCATCGCAAGACCTTAGTCTTGCGATGGTTGTAAAGTAATTTTAAAAACGTACGATCTGCCCATCTTGGACAGGCAGATCGTACTTGTGATTATTGCAAGCCCGCCCCCCTGAGGGGCGGGCTTCCGATGACCGCAATGCTGAACGGGCAGTGTGCGCGTGCGCACACCGGCCCATGCGGCATTGATCTTACGATCATGCTAAAAACCAGCCGAAAATCGTACGATTCTCGGCTGGTTTTCTAGCTTGCTCCTTAGACAAAAGACGTGCGACCGTACAGTAAAAATGATCGCACGCCTTCCATACACTTTGCAATTATCGTACGATAATCGCACAATGTATGGGCACCTTAGCAGTGCTTGCAGCTAATCAGCTGCAGGTACTACTTAGGTATTCTGACAGCAGCAGGTGCAATTGTCCGAACACAATGTACACAGCGGGAGCTTCACCCAACCACACTGTTAGAATGGCTAAAAATAGTATTGAAATGCAGGGAGGTTATTACATTAGCATTCATTTAGCCTCTGAATAATGTCTTTTCCTTTTTATTTTAAATACTTAACATGATTGGCCTTATTCACTAAAAGAAGTTTGTTTTCTTAAGCGCAGTAACTGCACAGCAATAAAAGGAAAGTTACTCTCGGAGAGAACATAAAGAGACAGAAATATCTTTGCTTAAATGTATCACTTGCTCAGCAGTGTACAAAGGACTCTCCACAACCTCAAAGCTTGTTCACACTGTAATGTTTTTGCTGCCCCACAACATCCCATCTACACAATAACAATGTCACCACACAGAACCATGCACATGGCCTCTATGCTTCATGGTGAGGCAGTGTTAACTTGCCTTTCATGTAGTCTCCACCTAGGGATCAGGTGACAGGGTAACAACACAGGAGCCAATCGGAGGCGATTATCAGTCCATTACAGGAAGTGCCTGAAGGACCTTCCTGGCAGTATAACCAGGTACTGTTTTAATTAAAGCTGCAGATTAAGAGAGATTAAGGGACTATTCAGACTATTGTTTTGCAGTAACACACATTACCGCAACACGTTACTTGCGTTGGTGCAGTGCCATTCACACTGAATGGCACCTTAAAGCAACACACTTGCAGGAGAATAGCACATGTTAATGCGATGATGTGAATCAACCCTGAAAATAAGTTTTTGATATGACTTTAACATGTTAAAAAAAGTAACCTGAACTTTTAGTTAGGGTTGCACAGATACCAAGTACAGTACTCGGTACAAATACGAGTACATGTAGCGATACTTTCGAGCTCCAAGACTAGACTAGAGAAAAACTCAAAAATTAGTAGGCAGCTGTCATGTGTAAGGAGCACACGGAGCTCCTGGGATTTGTACATCTCTGTTATAATGTACGAGTACTGGTACTTGCCGAGTACTTACAAGTACGAGTACTGATATATTTTTGTTTATTGTCATGTGACAGTTTTTATAAAACAATACAGACTAATGATTTCAGGACAGTGGTGGGGGGCCAGAGCCAGGTCCCAGCTGCAACCGCTGCAACCCTGGTAGTTCTCATGAAAATGCCAAGTATAGGCACTGGTACTCGAAAAGTATCTGTGCATCCCTACTTTTAGTCATTGGGTTTAGAACTGTAATTTTTGAGGGAGGCCGAGCTTTAATTTGTGGGGTTAGATCACTTTCTAGGAGAGGAGAGGTTAGGTTAAAGTTAGGGGTGCACTTTTTATGGTAAAGAAAGTCCTTCACTAAAAGCTACCAGCACTCTGTTCTTGGCATTGGAAACCAACAGTTAATATCCATCTGGATAGCTAATTGCACAACTGAGGCACTCCTTTTTCAATTCTGCATGTATGAGCTTGCCTGCCAACTGTGCTCTTGTGTGGGACAGAAGGACAGGTTTGGGAAATTGTTTTTCTTGTGGGTTCTTTTGTGCCTGACAAATTAGATCCAAAGGCTGAAATTCTTACATTGATAGGGGGACCCTTGTTCTGGTTCCATGTCAATATCTTGCTAAGAAAACCCAATGGAACCTCATTATGGGACAATCCTCCAGAGCTAAACATTATTTCAATGGCATTAGGCCAGACCAATAGCGGAGCTGATTCCTCTTTCACCCCACACTTGGTGGAGTAGTTCCTTACTGCAGTCTAGGGTGACAGGACACCGGAGACCAACGTGCCCTAAGTTCCTGCACATACATCAGTCACAGTAATAAAACAGCTCACTCCCTCCAGTTAATTTTAGCGTAGAGTTACATAAAAAAAAAACGTTTTTACTTATTTATTTTGTTGAAGAATTCAGCGTGTGTGTCCTGTCTATATGTGTGGTGTCTTACAGCAAGGGTCATTTGTGTAATGCAAAATACTGTAGTTGCATCTGACAGCTTGCAAGATTTTTTAGAGCTGTTACCCTAAAAGAAGGTGCATTTAACTTTTCAACTTTATGGGTTTAATGGAAGTGTCTTTGCAATGCCAACTTCCCAGAAAACTCGCATTTCAGTTTTAGGTAAACACCAGAGGGTTTAATAAATTGCTTAATTGGCTTTTTATTGCTCTCCGATTTCACTGTTGAGATTTCCCTGCAGTAGTTTGTATGTCGACCCCTCACCTAATAGTGAGATTTCCTGCACCCTTTCCATAATGTTGAAATTTCCCTGCAGTAGTTTGTGTCTCTGCATCTCATGCAATGGTCAGATTTCCCTTCAGTACTTTGTGTCTCTGCCCCTCCCACAATAGTAAGGTTGCCTGCAAATGGTGGGCGTTTGCCCCTCCTACAAGGCCATAATAAAGGTATGCAAAATAGCTGAAAGGCTTTCAGTGACAGTGCTGATCACCAAATCTTGACAAATGTAGCAATTTAAGTAGGCTCACCATATTTCCTTGAGCCAAATGGGGATGGGAAAAACAGGACGGTAATATTCAGTATTCATGGAAAAGTAAGATGGTAACAAAAGTTTTATGACAATATAGTAGATATGTACAGCATAAAGTTTTGAACCAAATTATTATGCTTCTTCAGATTTGGAGGCAACAAGCCTTGAGATTTCTTAACACTCTGGAGCACTGCCCTGCTGAGATAAAAGCTCTGCTGTTGATCAAATAAAATGGCTGCCTAAAGTCCCCGCC